AGCATTTTGTCACATAACTTTACTAACACAAAGCTAGTAAGGAAACCACAAGTTCTTTACTGTCCACCAGCGTGTATATAGAACCATAAGGAAATTAGTAACTTGGGACGGAGAGTTGAAGTTTCATCTCTTTAAATACTAAGCCTTTTATTTTAGTCATTTTGGGCAGAGTTTTTCACTTTTCTATAAACTGGGAATATTTTGCTATAACTTTGAGAAGAGAAGCTTTGGAGGAGACATATGTCTTGAAGAATTTGGAGGTTAGTCATAATTAGGTTTATTTTAAATAGTCTCAATAAGGATGCCTAGGAAGGCTGGAGGCAAACTGACTTGATGTAAAGAACTTTCTACCAGGCATTTAAGTACAGTGTAGCAGCCTTAACAGTGGATTTTAGAAGTCCACAGATCAATTAAAAAAAAAAAAAATAAATGAACTCAAACTTGCCAACTTTTTATTTTGCCAAGTAAGAATATTCTTTAAAATAATATCCCTACCATTATTTTATTTTCAAAAATGTTTCTGGATACAACTTAAGTATACCCAGTGGTCATCGAAAAAGTTCCTATTTGTTATCTAAAAACAACTTCAGCCTCCAGTGATAACAATTTCACCATAGTAAAAATGTGTTAGGCCATGTTCATGCAGAGAACACGTTTTAACCTGTGAAGTAGCTCCCTGTTGCCTCTAAGATAAAGTCCAGATTTCTTCACATGGAAAATAAAAGCCCTACACACCTGCCCTGTGGTTGCCTCTCAACATCTGTGTTTGGCTGCTCTGTGTTCTGGCTGCACCACACTCAGAGCCATTACTGAAATGCCCTGCCTGCCCTCCCTCTGGGCACTCCTTTAGGGTTTCCTCTGTGCTCCTGCAGGTTTTAGGTACAATCCCGTAGAGTGAAGGGATTATAAAAGACTCGTTTACTGCCCTCCTAGGAGTTGCTGCTTACCTGTCGAGACGGTATTTTACCTTTTGTTTTTTTTTAAAGCACTTTATAGTTCATCCTTACGGCAGACAGCCCTGCAGTTAATAGGTTGTATTTGTTATTTTTGGTTTTGGACTTTTTACAGATGTAAACAAGAAAGTATGTGATCTCAAGGTCATATACATATAGCTCCAAGAGGGTAGAACCAGGACTGTGGTCAAAGTTATTTTTTTGTGGTGTTTTGTTTTTAATTCAAGCATCATGTTCTTGCTAATTTCCATGCAGTCCTTCATTGAGTAAAATTTACTGCTTGCCTAGTAGGTGAGGCCACATAGTAAGGATACAGCGATGATAAAGGTGTTCCTTTTTTCCAAGAGAGGGCATTCTCGTGGATAAAAAAGGTTGATGTTATCACAAGGCAGTGTCAGGTTTGTGGTCAGCACAGGTTCTTAGAGCTGAGTTGGGTGAGGTTGGCCATAGTAGGTGAATCCAAAGCTGAATTTTCTCCAAAGTATAAATTTGAAATAGCTATCAGTAACTCAAACAAAATAAAATTAATGTAGCACAAACGTAATGCTGCATGGAATTGTTGAAGAGATTCACCAATTCAATTATTCACTGAATAATTTGATGTGGATCAATAATTATATTAAGTAGGATGAAACTAGTCATGTGTAGAGCTTACTGGGAAGACTGATTTACTTAGACAAATATTGAGGGGCCTATTTGGAGAATAAGGGAAAAAACAACACTGAGGAAACTCAGTTTATCTCTAAAGTGCTATAGGGGCCTCCCTGGTGGCACAAGGGGTTAAGACACAATCTCTGAAGCTGTCTGCAGCCACTGCAGCATAAGTTCGATCCCCAGCCAGGGAGCTACCCACATGGCGCAGCAGACCTCTCCTGTCTCCCCGCTGCTCCCTTCAGCAGTGGATTTCAGTAGATCTGCTTGTTCTGTTCCCCGCTCTGTCTCTGGTGAATCCTTTCACCACAACCCCCACACCCCTGGCCTGTACCCCAGTTCTTGTATGCATAAATAAATAAATCTTTAAAAAAAAATAAAATGCTATAGCGAGAGAACATATTGGGTGATCTTATTTTTACTCTTAAGGCCCAGTTCAGATGTTACCTCTTCTCTATACCTTTTCTGACCTTTTCCACATGTTTTTATTGTATTTTTTTTTTTAAGATTTTATTTTTGCATAGAACTGGGGTGCAGGCCTGAGGTCTGGGGCATGAGAGGATTCACCAGAAACAGAGTGGGGAGCAGAACAGGCGGATCCACTGAAATACACTGCTGAGGGGAACAGTGGGGAGACAGGAGAGGTCTGCTGCGCATGTGGGTAGCTCCCTGGCTGGTGATTGAACTCAGGCCCTGGAGTTGGGCCTTTACAATAGTGCTGAGACTTAACCCTTAGGCCACCAGGGAGGCATCCACATGTTATTGCTGTCTCACCTGTGCTACCTCTCTACCAAGACATGCATCTTACTATTTGTTTATGTGTTTTCTTCCCCTCTAGATTATTAATTTTTGAAAGCAAGATTCTGTTCCATTGATATTTGAATCCATTTGTATGATCATGTCATTGCATCAAATGTAAAAATGAAGTTCAATAAGTACTTTGATTTTTTTTTTTTTTAAAAGATTGATTTATTTATGCACACAAGAGCTGGGGTACAGGCCAGAGCTGCGGGGGATGAGAGGATTCACCAGAAACAGAGCAGGTGGCAGAATAGGCAGACAGACTGAAATACACTGCTGAGGGGAGCAGCGGGCGAGACAGGAGAGGTCTGCCTCGCCATGTGGGTTTCTCCCTGGCCGGCCAGGGATTGAACTCGTGCTGCAGAGGCTGCAGACAGCTTCATAGTCCGGTGTTTAATCCCTTGTGCCACCAGGGAGGCACAAGTACTTTGATCTTGATTCTAAATATTTGTCTCAACCCTAGAAGAATTTTTTTCTCCAAATATTAATGTACTTAATTGATAAGATACTCTTTATCAGTACTCCAACTTACATTTCTGTCATTATTTTTCACTTTTCTCCCTTATTTCCCCTCTGTAATCGTTATGTTGTTCCTTAAACATACACTTACTTTCTTGTTGCTATTTCTTTGTTCCTGAATCCTCTGCCTGGGCTTTCCTTCCAGTACCTTTATGGGTATATACTAATGGCTCTTTTCTCTTTATATATCACCATACAGATGAACTTTTGCCTCTCTTAGGCCATGGTTTTGTATTTTGTTCAATATATGATGTGCTATTTTTTGGCCATTACGCCATTCACCTCCCATTTAGATGCTGAACTTCCCGAGAAGCAGGAACTTTGGCAGCTTCTACAGAGTTCTTTAGGGTAGAATAGATGGTCTGTAGATAGTCACTTAATTAAAAAGTAAGTTAAAATTAAAGAGGACCTTAAATGTGAGCACTGTGTCAATTGTAGTTAAGCTGTCCAAATCAGAAAACACAGCCTTATTAGGTTTTATGGGTATTTTTCATAGTTCATCTTTAGTCCTATTTTATAACTAATGTTGAATTCTATAATGTCACACGTGTGTATCTCTTGGTATTGTATTGGTGTCTGTGTTCATTTTCTTTATCATTAGATGTCTCTCCTTTGTACTTTTATCAAAGCACAAATAATATGTATTGATAATAGTCTGTTTACTCATCTGTCTGCTTCAGAGATCAGTTACTCATTATCCCTGTGACTGGATTTGTCTATCAATAAATGTCTATTGCATGAATAAATAGTAAAATTGCTTTCTTAATAAAAATTTCCACTGCTTCCCATATTTTAGATAAGCCTCATTTGCTACTTTTGTAATAAACTAATATGTTGAGCAAAACCCTCCATTTGTAGTTCTCTGTGCAAGATAGTGAGGACAGAACCATAAATTACCTTTGTTAAAAATGGAATGATAAAACTGGAACAAAATTAACTAGTCACTCCATGTAACCTTCGATCCTTTCCATACAAAACTGCCTGTATGTGGTCATTTTCCCTCTCGCTACTGTAAGACATATATTACTTAGCTCAAGCTATTGTTTTTGTCTCAACTTGATTATCAGTATACATTTATTCAGATAGGCTAGTGAATGTAATAAATGTGTACTTCAAATGATTTAAGTGGGGGACTTAGGGAAAGTGATGAGCTTAACTGTTACTGGGAAGGTCGCTTGCTTTTGCTTTGTGGGTATCTCCATCAGTTTGCACTCAACAATGCAGAGTGAAGATGAGCAAGAAGGTGGTGGCATCGCTGTGTGGGAACATTCCCAGGGTATCCCATGTCTGTGTGTGTTGGGTGACCAAGGGCCTGACATTTTTGACAGCTTATCATGACCTCATGAAATTACTCTTCTTGATGTATTTCCACATATAGCTATGAAATAATAGATGCATGTGCAAAAGATCATGGCACACTGATTTGAGATGTATTGATGACAGGCTGCTTGGGAAGTGTAACATACCTATTTTATACCTGCTTGAGCTGCTGGGGAATGATTGCCATTTCATGGTATGAGGGAGACAGACATACTATTCTCAAGTTTATATTGTGTTGTTATAATATATGAACATAATATGCATTTTTACTTGTAAATGCATACAGTCATACTCCCAGCAGGAAGCTTCTTTTCCTTGTTGGGAATATTAATGAGTTATTTGCAGTGAATTGTACAAATAAGCACTGAGATTTTATGTTTTTAAATCATATCTAAATTTTTTAAATTCTTTTTAAAATTTATTTATGCATACATATAAGAACTGGGGTACAGGCCGGTGGTATGGGGTGGGTGAGAGGATTCACCAGAGACAGAGTGGGGAACATAACAGGCAGAATGACTGAAGTACACTGCTGAGGGGAGCAGTGGGTGAGTCAGGAGAGGTCTGCTGCACCATGTGGGTTGCTCCCTGGCTGGCCAGAGATCGAACTTGTGCTGCAGTGGCTGCGGATAGCTTCATAGCTTGAGTCTTAACCCCTTGTGCCACCAGGAATGCCCTCATATCTAAATTTTGTTTTTAGAACTGTCGTGAATACTCATTATTAAACTTTAATTGCTTTTGTTCTTGTTTTCCTAGGATTCTGACACTTCATGACATGTCATTATCTAGAGCAATAATGGACATTGACCTGTTTCGGATTAGCTGATGACCTTCAGAAATGATCGAATAATAGCACCTCCAGAGAGGCTGAATACACTCCATTTGGAGTGAGCAGCCCATATTGTTCCTGAAGTTTTCAAGATGACAGATCCAATGATGGACTTTTTTGACGATGCCAATCTTTTTAGTGAGACCTTGGAAGGTTTATCAGATGATGCATTTGTACAACCAGGACCTGTTTCGCTAGTTGACGAATTGAACTTGGGTGCAGAATTTGAACCTTTGCACATAGATTCACTGAACCATGTTCAAGGTACTCCAACACATCAGAAGATGACTGATTATGAACAGTTAAATCAGTATGAGTCAATGAAATTTCATCAAGTTAATCAATCTTTTGGTAGCCCAGCTGAACATGTGTTATCGCCACACTCCCAGTTTAACTGTTCTCCAATTCACCCCCAAAACCAACCCAATGGTTTGTTTCCAGATGTAGCAGATGGCAGCCCAATGTGGGGCCATCAGACAGCTACTAGCATTTCAAGTCAAAATGGGTCTCCTTTTCACCAACAAGGACATTCTCACTCTATGCATCAAAGTAAAAGCTTTGTATCCCACCCTGACTTTGCCTTATTTCAGGCCAATGAACCACAAACACAGTGCACTTCACTACGCTCGCAACAAAACAGAAATAATCTTAACCCAGGGCAAAATTCTCTTAGCCAGTCAAAAAGTTTTATGGATGTTAATGTTTCTGGTCCCCACAGAGTCAGTGTTAACCACCCACCACAAATTACCAACGCATCGACTTCACAACAGTCACTTTCAATGCCACAGTTTTCTCAAACGTCCAATCCTTCAGTGCACTTTCTCAAGTGTAGTAACCATCAAGAAGGAAATTTTAATGGACATTCTCCAAATATGACTCCTTGTTCCGTCAGTAACTCCCAGCAGTTTTCTTCCCATTATTCCTTTTCCAGTAATCATGTGTCCCCAAGCAGTCTTCTTCAGGCCTCTGCGGTTCTTGCACCGAATCATGCAAATCAGACTCTATCTGATTTTACTGGAAGTAATTCCTTTTCACCTCATAGGGGACTCAAGCAAGAATCCTCTCAGCATATGCTAAATCCGAATACGTCGTTGAATTCAAATAATTTCCAAATGTTGCATTCATCACATCCTCAGGGTAATTACAGCAATTCAAAATTATCTCCTGTGCACATGAACTTCCCAGATCCTGTTGACTCAGGAACTCAAATGGGCCATTTCAATGATCACGTAGAAACAAATGGGTTTTCATCTTTAGACGAGAATTTACTTCATCAAGTGGAGTCACAAGCTGAGCCGTTCACAGGACTAGACCCCGACGACCTCCTTCATGAGGGTCTCCTTCCCCAGTTTGATGAGTCAGCGTTTGGGCAAGATAATTCAAGTCATGTTTTAGATCACGACCTCGATCGGCAGTTTGCGTCACACCTTGTAACCCGGCCTTCCGACGTGGCTCAAACTCAGTTGCATAGTCAGGCTCGGAGCTGGCACACCTCCCTTTCCAATCATCAGCACCTACATGACAGAAATCGCCTGTGTTTACAGCGACAGGTATGTGGTTCTGTTATTTTGGTGATTTGCGGTGGAGAGTTTTTACTCATTGAGATTGAGGTTCTTTTATAAGACATATTTAAAATTTCTCAAACTCATTAATTCTGTTAATGAATATAAAGATGCTGATAAGAATTTATGTTGCTTTCATAATGCTTTTGAATGTGGTTCATTGATTGCTGAAAGCATTAGACTTTAACTTCTTTGTTTAGAAAATGGTACGGTTTTAAGACACCTTGTGACTTTCTGTTGAGATTGCCTTGAACAGAAAGATATTATCAAAGATAAAAAAACTTAATAACTACAATAAAATGGGAAACAAAATTCAGTTTTGAGTGTTTCAGTTTTACTTGTTAAGAAACTTTTAATGATAATACTTGATGCTGACAAATTTACAGTGCAGTTGGAGCTAATATGGCCTTGTTAATTGACACACATATTTTGGATAGCAATTTGGTGTTACATGTGCGTGTAAAACTATTTTACTATAATAATCCAACAATAGCCCAGATTAGCAAAAGTACTCTACCCAAAAATATTTGTTACTTATATCTATGATGGAAGACTAGAATAGAATAAATTATCATCATAGCTATCGTAGATGGACTACTTCGTGCTTTTAAAACACTTGCATTGAGAATCCGTTAATGATGGAGAAAAATCATAATTCAAAGTTATGGTTCTAGGCGGCCACCCTCCTGCCCACCTCGGCCTTGCTGGTGCTGAACCAACCTTCTGCCTTTGCAGAACTGCAGCGGCAGCCCTCCTCCAAGACTCCTGCCTGCTTGTGTCTGTGCAAGCATCCTTGACTTCCCTTCCCTTTTTATAATAAGTCTGTCCTTTTGAATTAAAAAAGAAATTATGGCTACAGTAAAGTGGTTAAGAGTGTAGACTCTAGTACCAGACCACCTGGGTTAGAATCTTGGCTCCTGTTACTTATTATCTGTGGGAGTTCTAGCAAGTTAAATCGTTTCTGCGTGTCTCATTTGCTTCATCTTTAAAATGTGGAATAATAATAGGATCTACCTAATAGGGTTTTGGTAAGAATTAAGAGTTACTACATGTAAAAGTGCTTAGAACTGTGTCTGGCATATAGTAAGCACTCAATAAATGCTTTTATAATTGTACTTTTTTCATAGTATGATAGTTTGTTTATGAAAAATTACTGGAGGAATATAGATTGTTGTAGGATAGTGCAGTTACTTTACTTTTTATAGTTTTTATCATGAAAACAGTACTTTTATAAGATTTACTATATATTGTGTTATTTTTCTTGAAATATTGTTAAATTAAGGATTCATAAAATGCTTTAATACCTTGGTTACCGTTGAGATTCAGTGGCCAGTGAAGAATCCCACAGTTCTTTAAGTATTTAGGGACCTTTTTTTTCAAATTTTTTTCATTGAGATGACATTGGTTCAGGACACGGTATGACTCAGAGGAAGGTTCACACCTCCTCAGATGTATGTCGCCACCCCACGCCTACCACCAGAGTTCACACAGTCCTTTCTCCTCGGCCATCGGGCCACCCCCCTTCCTTCCTCCTACACCTCTCATGGCCTCAGTTCTGTGGTCATACTTCTGGGGTTTGTTTTAGTTAAGTTTTATCAGTTTAGGGGCTGTTGTTTTGTTTTGTTTTGTTTTGCTTTTTTCATCTCAAGGCCTTGAACTATTTCGAAAAGGTAAAATCATTATCTTTTCTATTAGGTTAACTTTCGTTCTATTTCAAGCGGTTTTTCCAGTACATATTTTGGGATTGTCTAGATAGATTTTAAGAGACTTAAAAGGTTCTTGTACATTCTGCCCCTCCCCTTCCTTTTGTGTCTTGAGTGGAATATTATGATTTTGCTCCCTCTACTGGAAGAGGGTCAAGGTGGACCCTGGGAAAGACCTGCTGGGAAAAACCTGCACTGATGAACACAGGGTTCTTTATCCACTATGTATGTAGATTTCTGACTAGTTTGATCTGCATATGATTAAAGTTATGAAACTTGACATCTACTAATTTTGCTTTTTCTAAGATCTTATCATCATTAAATTTTTTTAAAGATTTATTTTTGAAAGGTTCAGCGCGGTAAAGAAAAGGAGAGCCAGGCTACATTTCTCAAAGGGAGGGAAAGTTTATTGCGCCCAGGGCGGACCTCACAGACCCAAGGCGGGGGTCAGTGGAGTCTCGCACGTTGTTAGGGGGAAGCAAGGTTTTATAGGGCGAGGAGAGGTCAGGTGGGTAGTTGGGCTTCTATGGCGGGAAAAGTTTGTAGGGCAGGTAGAGGATTTTTGTCTGAGAAGAGACTCATAGGGGGAGGGAGGAGGCTCATTGTCCTCCAGGCAGGTATCTGCATTCCTGCCCCCCAGGTGGGCTTCCTGGTTGGCTCCTGCATTCCGGCCCCCTGAATGGACCTTTCAATTTTTATTTATTTATGCACAGAAGAGATGGGGGACAGGCCAGAGATGCAGGGAGTGAGAGGACTCACCAGAGACAGAGCTGGGAGCAGAACAGGCAGACTGACTGAAACACACTGCTGAGGGGAGCAGGGGTTGAGTCAGGAGAGGTCTCCTGCGCTATGTGGGTCAGCTCCCTGGCTAGGGATCGAACTTATGCTGCAGTGGCTGCTGGTAGATTCATAGTGCTGAGACTTAACCTCTTGTGCCACCAGAGAGGTCCTGGTCTGATAAATTTATTATTTTATTTACTATTTAACTTTTTTTTCACTCTTTTTCCTGAAGTTAGGGAAAATATTACTTATTAACTGTTTTTAAAGAGAAAACTACAGGTTTCAACAGTTGATGCATTTTAAAATATTGAATATTTTTCTGATTAAAAATGTGATACATGGTTATTATTAAAAACTGGACCAAATTAAAACAAACTGATGAAAAATAAGTTACTTGTAATATCACTATCAAAAGATACCACTGTTGACTTGTTTTTTAATTTTACAGTGCAATCCACTCTCTCCCTGGCCCTTCACCTTTGTATTTTTGCGTTTTTAAGAACTACTTTCTACAAAGCACTGTGCTGAATATTTAACATGTATTAATATACTGATCCCTCACAACAATCTTTTATTTGATATGGTTATTTCCTTCAGCTTCCTTGGGAGGAAACTAAGGTAATACACCCCAGATTACACATTCAATATGGAGATAGCCAGTGGCCAGGTTGCATTAAAAACAAATTAGACCCCATATATGTGTTTTTACACGCCTATGTTACAGGGCAACTCCAGTGTGAAATGGGGAAATTTATGGAATTTTAGCCAGTTCTGAAATACGATCTTGTTATTCAACTGCATACTATTGCTTTAGAGGAGTTGAGCTTTGCACTGTCTGCCAGGATTAGAATAACAGAAACTCCAATTAACAGTAGCTTTAAGGCTATTGACCTCTTGCATGCATACTTAAGGGTGAGGGGAACAGGAAGTGAATTCCAGGGGTGGAGAAGAGGCAGCAGTTGGTGAGAAATTTGTGGATTAGTGCAGTGCATGAAGAGCATGAGATTGAAGCCAAACTTCAAAGTAGGTCTAACAAAATTTTGTGATATCTACTTGTATTGATGAAGTGATTTCCAAATACCTTAGAGCACACAGTCATTTACTTATCGATATTACAGTCTGAAGTTGAAAATAATGTATTAGAAAGACGAGCCATCAAACTCTTCCTGTCAAGACAGCAAGAATACCGAGTTGTTTTGGAATGCTTAATTATGCACAGTAAGGTTTCTTTATTTGGGTAACTACACTTAAATAATTTTAAATTAAGGAAATATTTTTACACAGTATGTTGTGGTAATGGATGGGAAGAGATAGCAAACACGTAGGAAGCGCAGACTAGTTTTCAAAAGTAAATTCTGATACTATGTTATGGTCAACCATGAAAATAATACCTCCACATTTACTATACAAGTAATGCCTTATAAATAATGAACAGTACAGGTTTACACCAATCATTTCATGGGATATTAGAATTTTAGAGCTGGACAGGCATTTATGCAATCCTCAGATACAAAAGAAAAACAGTACTAGAGTTCAGGTCTTGCATGCTGTCATGTAACTAGTTAACAGATTCCTTTGTAGGTTAAACTGTAGGTTTAAGGGTAATCAGAAATGACTGTGGATACCAAATGTTGTTGGACACTTACATTTAATATGCAGTGTTGTAAAATACATTTATAACTGGTTGTCTCCAAATTGAGAATTTCTTTTTAAGTTTATGTGTGTGCGTGTGTATGTGCCTGTGTGTGTAGCTTTTAATCTTAAGTTTTAAACTTGCTTTCGTGTTTAAAAATAGACCCTTATTGTATCTTATCAAGTGTAGGTGTAAATTGTATATATGGGAGTGAATTGTTTTTTTGTTTGTTTGTTTGTTTTTGTTTTTATTTACTTATTTATTTTTATTTATTTATACAAGCACTGGGTACAGTCAGAAGCGCGGGAGGGTGAGAGGATTCACCAGAGCCAGAGCGGGGAGCAGAGCAGGCAGAAGGACCGAGTACACTGCTGAGGGGAGCAGCGGGCGGCAGGAGGGGTCTGCACGCCATCTGGGACCCTCCTCTGGTGGCCGGGGAGCAGCCGGGGATCGAACCAGCGCTGCAGAGGCTGCGGGCCACAGGGGAGGCCCGGGAGTGAATTGTTTTTATCTGTGTTTTGGAAATGTTATGTTCTTGCTACTTTTATTTGTTCCGTATTGACTAGATACCTACCATGTGTGAAAGAATACGCTGGATGCTGTAGTTGTAAAGATGAATAAGATGCTATGGTCCTTTGCATTGGAAGAATTCAAATTGAAAATAAGTTATACCTTCCTATTGATCTGTAGCATAACTTCAGAACGGTGCTCTCTTTGTTTCTGATTCACTCTTAGATTAACAGTGATTTCTAGCCCTTTCTCATAGCGCCTTCCAGCTAAGTGGTTTGGACTGAGTGATTTACAAACAGAAATAGTAATTTCTTTGATCCACCCTCCTCATATATTTCTCATATGTTTCTAGATCTGTTCTTTGTTTCATGACCTTTTGGCAAGCTGTAGTAATTGTATTCCTCACATGATATGCCCAGTGTGGTGTCTTCCGTGCTCATGTACTGCAAGCGTGTTTGAGGG